GTGTAGGTAGGTGTTCAACAAATACCCACATCTAGTGAATGAATTGCTCTGAGAAATGAAATGGGAGAAATTTTTCACTGGGAGGCTTGGAAAGCCAGGAAGGCAATTCTGGTGAACACTGGAGGAGAATTCTGCCTAACTTTTCCTTGCTTCAGGGATGGTGAATCCAAAGCTCTTTAGAAACTGCAAGTATTTTGAAAGAGGTGAGTAAAGGACACAGAGGACCAGCCTAGGAACAGATGAGAAGGGTTTGTCCATACATAACGTAGACATGCATACTTAGAGGTAAGCTGTGTTAGCCCTATGTGAAAGGGAAAGTTGGATTTAGGGCAAGGACTGAAGGTGTAAATATTTAAACATTCTTTTGGATTGCAAGCCAAAGTCTCATGAGGAAAAATGTGAGAAGAGAATGCTGAGGAGCTTCTAAAATAATATATATCACATTATTCTGTTATATACATTACAGGTGACATGAAACAAACGCTTCAGCCTGCCCAAATATGAGCAACCATTAGGGCTATTCAGATGATTAGGGTTGGCAACTCTGACACCAGAATGAACCACTCGCCTCGGTTCAGCTGTTCTTTTTTGCCATTTTTAACAAGTATATTTTAGTGGTCATTATTGTTTTATTCATGTTAGGTTTATCATTATTGCAGTTAACCTCAGGTTGACTTTGGCCAGTACACGTCTTTAAAAGTCTTTGATATTTCAGTTGGTTTTGATTTGTCTTTTTGGTCATACTCCATAAATAGTAAACGTGAACAGTGCTTTTCCTCTTACAAAGAATTCATGTTACCATTTCTAAGGGATAAGCAGGGATGACTTCTATTTTATAGGTGAGAAAACTGAGGTTTCATGAAGGTAAGGGACTTGTCCAAGATCAAGACATGGAGAATGGCTGAACTAAAACTCATATTCAGATATTCTGATTTCTATAGTGCTTTTCTCATAGGACTCGAAGCCATCCCTACTGGTAGCCCAGATCCAGTGTCTCCTTGCATAGGTACACTCATGTTCATGTGCACACACGCACAGCTGTCAACTAGGACTAAAACTGTCACGCAGAACTCACAAAAGTGTTGTGGTGTGCATTCTCAGAAAAAGAAGAGGCCAGAAAACCCAATGCCACCATTTCTTCCCAGCAGGA